CACAGGCAAGATAAGCATCTTGTTCTCCACATCACACTTTTGATATATATGCAATCTCAAACAAGGGGATTTTTTGCTTTTGGTTCAGTTTTCTTCTTATTTGCTCCCCAAATTAATACACAATTTAGTGCAGTTCAACAATAATGCCAACAGAGTCAAGTGGATCTCATGTGGCTTTAATCACCTCAGAAAAATGCCTGACAAAACCTCTCTCCAGCCATTTATTTAGATTTCAGATATGGAAAAGCACTGTGAGAAAACACAGAAAGACTCTTTATGAACTGCAAAGCGAAGTTTGTTCTTGTCACGAGATACAGAGCCTGGATATGTTTTCAGCAACCAAGGCACTAATATCCTGTTGGGAGCAGGAAGAGAGAGCAAGGACAAGGCTCTTCAGCTCTGCAGCCTGAAGCTGCCATGTGTGGGAAGACCAGGGAAGGATGGGAAGGGCAGCAAGCTGGGAAAGGAGAACGCTTTGGAGGAAGCCACATCAGTTGTTTCTTCACGATTACTTTGATATGAAAACTCTTAAAAGAAGAAAAAAAAGAAAAAAAAGAAGGCAGCAAATTGAAATAAGTCTAACCAAGACTTGAAAAGACCAAAGTTGATGCATGGAGTCAGCTCTCAACAGAGGCCTGTGCAAATAAAGCAGCAAGCGATAAAAGGCAAGAATCATACTTGGCAGTTCATAGACAAATCTCTTTTCTTAGTAAGATTGCAGGCTATAACCTAACAAAAAATGCTATCAAGAAGATTAGAGCCCTTATTTTCCACTTAAGCTTATACTGATAAAACAGTTTTTACAATAGTGTACTATGCATGTGATAATACAAGATGTCTTTAAAAGCAGCACACATTTCAAGCTTCAGTGATGATTATATCTAGGCTCTTGACATTCAATGCTGGAAAAATCTTTAATTAACTAGGACAGCAATGCTGATTTACAATCATGGGCACAATGGGATTTGAGTATTTTACAAAACTGGATTAAAAGGGAGTAAGATATACCTCCCACTTTAGTAAGATTGAATGGATTCAGTTTGAAGTCTCATTGCAGAGGGAATGAGATAAAGGTGTCCACTTTATCTGCATTTGTTTTAGTGTCATCCCTGCTAAAAACAGCAGAAGCTTCTTCAGTTAAACTGCATGGAAGACTTTATAATCCTACCATCTACAGATGGTAGTCTTAAAGACATATGCCTATCAAATACTACCAGTTCACTTACCCACCTTCATGGATGGATAATCACAAATGGTTATGGGTGTGACCTTATACCCCACCTTATAGGTGTGACCTCATGCATGTCAATGTGAGGATGTAGAAGACTGGAAATAAATAAGAGTAAATGCAATGGGTCGTCCCAAATTCTCAAGGCTTCTAGAAAACAGGTCCAGCTGGGTTATGCCTTGCTGTACCAACAGTTTAGACCAGCAGATTTCACACTTTTTTTTAATTAATAAACAAAAGGCTCAGAAAATTCACAGCCATGGTTTTGTCGATTAAAATTAAGATACAGCAGAGTGCTGAGTATATATTTTTCATGGTGGTCATATGACATGACTGACAGCCACTCTTCAGAAATGCTGGCTTAGATGAACGCACAAGGCAGAAATTTAACTGGTTTTCACTTTTAAAAAGCTTAAAAAACTTTAATGCCAATGATTAGAAAGCTATTTCACCAACACTGGTAGATCAATACACATTTCCAACTCTCATAATTTCTCAAAGCCTTCAGGAATCACAGAGGAGTTACTTCTGGAGCTGTCTGGCTTGCTGGGGCTGCCAGTTTATATAGAACAGCAGTGCCCCAGCCTAAGATCTATCAATCTGCAATTTAGAAAAAGGAAAGTGTAACCTTATAGAAGAAGTTGTTACCATAGGGCTATCAGCAAGGATTCCAGCTGGCATCGATTGGCTGTATCAGAAGGGGTATTTGCCTCTCTTCTCATTAGACATGCCATGCCATAGATAACAGTTTCCACAGATTATTTATGCCATAAAGATTTAGAATAAAAAGTTTTTCATAGCCCTGACAAATAAACTGTTTGAAACAATCGAACTGGCTAATTTCAAAATGCATTTTCATTCAGATACAGAAATAACATAACCTTTTCATTAGGGCACCAGCTGTTCAATGACAACAGCTTACTCTCACCAGTATTATCGATCTCTTCATGTTTACTCCAGTAAGCAGTCCTATGGATGTGTAACAGCAACCTTTTGAATTGACTATTCAAAGGAGCTGGTCCATAAATGCTAAATCACTGCAAGGATTTCAAGCTGAACTGAACTTTCCAAATACAGGGTTTCACATAATTCTTCAAAGTTACCATTCTTATCTCCAAATCTGTATCCATTGTCTCCAAAGTCTGTAGATCACAGTATCACAGTATCACAGTATGTTAGAGATTGGAAGGGACCTCAAAAGATCATCTAGTCCAATCCCCCTGCCGGAGCAGGAACACCTAGATAAGGTTACACAGGAACGTGTCCAGGCGGGTTTTGAATGTCTCCAGAGAAGGAGACTCCACAACCTCCCTGGGCAGCCTGTTCCAGTGTTCTGTCACCCTCACTGAGAAGAAGTTTCTTCTCAAGTTTAAGTGGAACCTCTTGTGTTCCAGTTTGTACCCATTTCCCCTTAGATCTCCCTCTTTGTTTGTTTCCCCCACAAAATGTCAACCTACCACAAGTTGGTTCCACCAGATGATGAGGAGAGATGGCATTCCCTGTCCTAACATACCGCCATAGTACCACAGTGACAACTAAAGAGAGGAGCATGTTAAGGCTGGCTGCAAAGACAAAGACCCCACTTTCTGGCTTAAGCTCACATATTTTGGACAAAGACAGAAAAAAGACCTAAGAGAATCCTCTACTGCTTAAGAAATTCTCTTTTTCTTCTATAATGCAAACAGATTATGGATGAGAGAACTTACAGCATTCAGTGCAATGCATTGGACAGAGGTGGAAAGAGCAAATGTGTTTATCATTGTGATTATTAAAAATAAATGAAGTGGCAAGGTTAAAACCAATTCACCTTTGTTTCCCACTTACTGTAGCTATTTATAACCAGGCAAAGTACATGGAGAATACTGTTGCCACTCCGATTTTGAGATGTCTAACATTCAGTTAATGCTCGTGAAAATAAGGCACATGATGCAAGGCCATGCGGACTTTGGCTTCATGTGATCAGGGATGTGCAGGACATAAAGGCAGGTCACTAACTGAAAGAGTGCTAATCAAGAACAACAGGGAGAAGAAACCTGTCACAATAACAACATCACATGCTCCTTGATAATGTTTCAGTGGAAACCTCTCATATGCTTATTGTGGGCTGCCTTTGCATCTTTAAGGAATTAAACTGTAAATGTTCCATGTATTTATAGAAAAAAATTCCAACTCCCTTTTTTTTTCTCCTACAACAAAACCCAAAGATACCTGGAAAATCTGGAGTACACTAAAAATTTAGATATTTCAGCTGTTCTTTTCCTCTACCTAGAATTAATTTGATGAGGCTAGCACCTACTGAGAAATACGACTTTAAAACGATGTTTGATTTTGAAATTGTTGGTATGCTAACAAGAAAGTACTCCGTTTTGCAGCAGAGGAAGGATTCACCCATCAAAAGAGACTGGCTGTCAGAGATGAAAGAGAGTAAAGAAATGGGGAGAGAGCCATTTTAAACATATAAGACAAGACTTTCATCTCATGCTGGACCATACGGGACAGTGTTATTAACCTTGGAAAAAATCTGACAGGAGTGTAAGAGAAAAGGAGATGAAGAAAGTATATATATAAAAAAGGAATAATTTGCCTTCAATAACTTTTCTGATCTGTACTGACACGTTTCAAGAAGTCTACATTTATGCTTTTCCACGGGTGAAGGTTTTGCCATGTGTCCCTTATTTCTTTCTGTACATGCAGAAGTGTTGGTACGGGTTTTCTGGTGGCCAGTGTGCCCTTGCTGCATCTGCCTGCTAAGGTGCTGCCTGTGGATACCTGGGCAGAGGGCAGCTGGTGCATGCATGGATGACTCGTTCACTTGGGTCACCCATATACCTTTCCTGCACCTCTGCAGTATGTGACACTGACTGACAAAGCAGTGTTTAAGGCATTTCTGTAGTTTCTATTATTTCTGCCTGAAGAGCAGCTCTGCAGCTACAGAAGCAAGTGCTCCCAGATCCTCATTGTCAATCGTCTCATCGGTGCTTAAAAAACTCCCTCTGTGGGATTCCACAACCTCGTCTTCACAATGCATTTGTAGACTAAATTCTCCTTACTCTTTGCAAGTGCTTTCTAACATTTAAGCTATTTTTTTTTTCCTGAGAACTAAATGGATTACTTTTTATCTTGCCCTTGAGGGACATGAGAAACAATTGCTCACAATCCTCTTTGCAAGAACCTTTTCCGTGTTCAATCTCCCTGTCAGCTTTCCCTTTTCCATACCAAACCAGTCAGTTCTTTCAATCCTTCCTTTTGTGTCACAGCACCAAGTCTTACTTCTGGTGCTCTGACTGACCCTTAATAGATGAGAACCCAGTGCAGACACAGTTTGAGATCCCAGCGCTGGGAGCCAGGGCATAAACCTTTGGTGCACACAGAATCTGCTGTGACACCTCAAAGAGCTGCTAGAGAGGATTCTGTCCCCGACACACCCAGGCTTCCCCACCCCTACAGCCCCGACCCCTCGTCGCAGCACTCGCCGGCGCCCAGCAAGGGCAGAAGCGCTGCTCCGAGAGGAGGGCGATCTCTCCCCCCCTACACCACTGTGGGCATATTCAGCCACTGGGGTTTTTATTTGTTAGACCGTTTTATTTTGGGAGGGGGGGGTGGTGGTGTTTGAGGTCTGTATGCTAAGCACTAGAGGCAAACCAGAACGCTCCCCGGGGGGCGGGGATGGTGGTGGGGTTAGCTTCTCACCTGCGCCCATCCCCGTGGTGGCGGGGCGGGGGCGCAGAGGGCGCCGCGGGGGGCCGCGCAGCGCGGCGCGGGGCGGGCGGTGGAGGCGGAGCCGGCTGTACTCCGCAGCCCTCCCGCGGGGGCTCGGGCATCTCTGCGCGCCGGGCGGTGCGAGCGGCAGCCGCGCCGCGCCGGGCTCAGGGGGTGGCGGCGGCGGGATGGAGGGCGCGTACCTCGCCTGGGAGCTGGCGCACGCCGCGCTGCTGCTGCTGAGCCTCTTCCCCGCAGGTGGGAGCCGCGGGCGCGGGAGGGCGCGGAGCTCCGCGGGGCCGGGGCAGGCGCGGGCTGCTGCGGGGAAAACTTCAGGGGCAGCGCTGTGCCAGGGGTCGCGGCGGCAGCTCCGTGCAGTGCCCTGGCATCGCCCTGCGCCGCCTTCGCGGGACGCCCCGCCGGGGTGGTGGTGGGCAGTAAGTCCTTTGTTTGCAGTGCGCGGTTATCCGGCGCTGGGAGAGGGGCCGGCAGGGAGCCCCCCCACACCTCCCCGGGCCGGGCTGTTTTGACAATAAAGTATCTGGTGATGAGTACAAAATGTCCCCGCGGTTAAAGTGCTCCTTGAACAATAGGCAGGGAAGGAGCCGCCGCCGTCAGGTGTCCAGCGCTCCCCAGCAGGCGTGAAGCCTCCCCGGGGAGGGGCCGGGGTGTCGGGGCCTGGGGTTCGGTTCGGCGACCCTGTGCGCCCCGGCTGTGGGTCGGTGCCTCGGTGCGCCCGGGAGTGGGTCGGTGCCCAGCGGTCTGGAGGGGCTGAGCAGACGGCTCACCGCGGGACTAGGCACCAGAGCCGTTGTGCTCCGGTACTGCCGATGCTCTGCGTTGAGTAGGAGGGCGAGCGGTGTCGCTCTGGCCTTAGGAAGGTCTGTCAGTGCTGAAACTTTAGTGTGTAGGGCATAAATTCAAAGGTTCCGTTCCACATCCTTGACAAAAGGGGCTTTCCTTTCCCAACCTTGCAGCACTAGCGCACAGGGATGGTGATTTTAAACACAGCATCTGGCTGCAGGGCTGGGCAAGTTTGCACATGGCTTTAGCAGTCGCCGTGCAGCTCGTAGGCTTAGGAGGCATTTTGGAGGTCTACAGAGGAAGATGCTGTAAGGAGGTCGCAGCTAGTGTTCGAGGAGCTGCACCCGGGGAGGAATCTGGGCCTGGGCACCGAAGTCTGAAAGTGCGTAACACGAAAGGTTATTTTGCTACTTAACTGAGCACGCTGAGGATCTCAGGAAGCAATGCACATTGCGAGGTGGTTAACACCCGCTCCCGCCAACGGAGGGAGCAGCCAGGGACGGCTCCATAAGTTCCTGACCATACTGCTGGGAGCAAAGAAAACGTACCAGGAACTAACAGTAGTGACAATTCACGATTCTTTGTAATCATTTTACTCTGGGAGGTGAGAGGGGGCAGTAACTGATTTATAAGTATTTTTGTTAATGGTTTTGTTTGGGTAACTTTCTGGGTTTGGTCCCTTTGTTTATTGATAATCTGAATGTAAGTGTGATGTCTGCCAATTTGGGCACTTTCCTATTTAGAAATAACCCACAAAATGCTAGTGCAGTGGCCACAGGGGTGGGAAAGTCTTCTATCAACAGGTTATTCTTCAAAATATATAACTCCCCCGCCCCATATTGAAATTATCAATACCCACCAACTTTCTTTGTTCATGTGTTTCTTGCTGCACTTGAAAGTTACCCTTCATCGTATGATTAGGCTGTCCTTAAGGGAAGACTGAGAAACAGGTCAGACTGTCCTGGAAAACATGAGATGCAGGCTCCAGAGTACTGGAGAGGCAAGGAGAGAACCTTCCTCTGGTTCTTGGTTCAGACACCTGTGGGAGACTTCAGCTCAGGAGCACATCAAACAAATGTGTAGACAAAAATACACTGTATAGTAGGCATAAATGACTTGCTGTTCAAAAGACAACTGTCTTTGGGTATGTGTGCGCATCATCTGTGTGTCACACGGATGTAGGAATATTCCGATACGGTTTTGTGTTGGAGGAGGTATCAGAGTGATGGCTCATGTCCTGGCAGCGGCGCAGGGGACAATCAGAAGTAACAGGCAGGACAGAGCTGATCTGCTGTGGTGGATTGCTCTGGAGCTAATGTGACCCCGTGGTACTTTTGTGTTTGCCTCAGTGCAGCTACTTGGATTGGATGATCTCCCACAGTCCCTATTGAGACCAATCCTGTTGTCTGTCATTATACAAATTTATATTGTGTCCTTCTTTGGCCTTTAGTCAAGAGCTTCTTCCTTTGTTTGCAAACAGGGAAGGAAGATGTGGGAAAAAGAGCTTAATGTAATTTCTTGGAGGGTAAACTGTGCATCTCTTCTGTCTACAGCACCTTCCTGCTTTTTGTTTTTCTTGCATCCTAACATACACTTTTCCTTCCATTTGGGTATTGCCTTAGTCCTCATTTAATGTGATATTCTGGAACAAATCTTTACTCTGTACCTTTGCTGTCCTCCCCAAAGGCTTGCCCTACCTCTCACCCCCAGTACTCTGCCAGGGTGTCTGTGGCATTTCCATCCCATGGACATGGAAGACTGGACGTGATTCCTTTCAGCATCCATCAGTACAGCCTTTCTTTCTTCCAGTCAGCTGCAGAGTAATAGGAGGCTCTCCCTGTGCCCAGAGGGAAGAATGTCTGTTTTCATGATGCTTCCTTCTACCTGTCAGCCTCAAGGGAGGAGGCTCGAAGGAGGAAGATTGAATGATAGGGATTCTGATTGCTGTTACTCAGTTCATGCCTTGACCCCCTCAAACCATCTGAGCATCATGCCTTCCCTACTCCCCTGTTTCCATCTCTGCTCTCTCCTCCTTTCCTCCCTCCCTCATGTCAGGGCATATTCTCCTGTGCAGAAACATGGTCCAAGGCCACTGCCAGGGGCAGAATGAAAGTGTCAAAGATTGCTTAATGCTTGACTCTTTTTCCTTCCTTTACAACTGGGAACCCTCTCCCAGCAAGTGCGTAAGTATTTTTTTCTTCAGGCTTTATAATAAGGAATGTGATACATTTGGCAAGAAGTGAGGCTCCCATTTGCATCCTGTTTAAGTACCATTCACAGATACTGGAGGCATTTCCATGTGCTCATTTTGCAAGAGAGAGCCTCTCGTCAACAGATGACTGCAGCTGTAGTATTGTTTGATTATATTCACTCCCTGTGGGCTTTCCACCTCTCTTCAGCCCTCCCTGAAACCTATCGTTGATTGTCCAAACAGTAAGAACTCTTTGCAACTGCCTGGATTCGTCAAAGGATCCTGAGTCACCTCCAGAAGGGACATCTTGCACCAGGACACAGGTGGAATCAGAAGGGATATGTCTTTAGCATATGTAAGCATGAGATAGGACAGGTCTTAGGAGGAACTTCTGAGTCATGTTCCAGTTGGTAGGAGTTCCTTGTGAAACTTGTTCTTCTTTCTCTCCAGTCTGTTGTGCGAGACTCTAGTGGTACCTCTATATTCTTTAGATAGATTTTTAAGGCATATATAAATCAGTCAAATTAAATACCAAGTACTTCGTATTTGTAGTTTGAAGGAAAGCTGCTTTCTAGCCTGAACTTCCAGTAAACACTCTGGTGTAATCTGAAGGTAAGGAATAGCAAATTCTGGATGAAGTAAGAACCGCACAGTATCAGAGTTTCAACAACATAAAACGTTTATCTACAATACATGACAACCAATCTAATATCAGTCTTGTAGAAGAGAGGCAGTAATTGCTCAAGGTTAAGCCACTTTTCAGCTTTTTCTCTCTGCCCATGAAGATGGATGTCATTGCAGAGATCAGACTTTGCACATTGTCTTGCTCTATGCATGTGACACATGATTTTACAGATGTTGTTTTCTTTTTCATCTAGTACAAACATCTTCCAGGATTTTGACTCATTTCCTTAAGTCTCTTTCAGCTGTTCAGAGAATAGCTAGAGGAAATGAGGTCTAATATCCTAATGCATTGCATTTACTGTAAGTACCTTCTCACTTTAAGTGTAAAACTTTGTCTTTTTTAAATTTCTGAATGTCTTCTGAATATTCTCCTGCAGAAGAAAGAGTTTGCAGTTGTTTCTGTCCTTCAGAAACTCATCGGCCATGGTTGAGGCTCTTAAGTCTTAACAGAGCTTAAGGCGTTCATTGTAACCTTAGGCGAAAGATGAGGGCTGATGCTAAAGTCACCTAATGAAAGTGATGATCCAGAGTTCAGTGTGTTACATCGTTTTGGACATTTATTAGAAAAAAAAACAAACCTGAAGACAGTGCACATACAGATTGCTAGGACTTGGCATAAAAGGAATTTTTAAATCATTATTACTCTTTTGCGTTGCTTTACTGCAGAAATATTGCGCGTGGCTTTTCCAGTGACTTTTAGGAAACTAAAAGGCTTTTTTTCCGAAATTGTCTTTGACAATTAACCCTGCAAACAGTCATAAATGAACATAGTTTTAGGCATGTGAACAGCCTCCTTGGCTGGTTGCCAAACCTAATGACAACCGAAGAGTATTGTTTGTCCACCAGCCAAGATTGCTGCCGTTAGTGATAAAAGCGTAACGGGAGTGTAAACATCTGTGTTTGAAGGGAGAATGTGACTCCTGTTTTCTAGGGTATACCAATTAGAAAGCACAGTAAATGTTAATCTCTCAATGGATTTACTCTTGGGGATTATACTGATTTATTCTGAAAACATAGGTTTTCAGATGTATCTTTAAATGGATTTTTAATGATCTTTTTCATATGGCAACAGTTTTTTTTTTTTTGCACAGCACGTAGGGCTCTTTATTATCTATAACAGTAATCTGGAGTGTAAATAACAGAAAAGTTTCTAACGTTGCTAGCGTGCTATGCAACTCCCGAGCTGTTCCATATGGGTCCTTCCTGGAAATTGTAACTAAAATGAAGCATCATTTAATAACATTATCAGCTACAGGGGGGTTTGTTACTGGAGGGCTGACAGCATTAGATGTCTATGATTTTAAATGTCATCTTGACAGCTGAGTCCATAATCATGTGACATAATCATTAAATACCTGATACGGAGAAGAATTCTCTGGTCAACTAGGCACTGATGGTTGTAAATCTTAAGTGATAAAGAGGATGCATGTGCTGATTTAAGTTAAGAGGAGATTAAAACTGTGGCAGGGAAATTTGGAAATTTGAGAGATATCTCTCTTATAGGTTCTTTGGAAACGTGGCAAATGCTAGGTTAGTCCTGCATCTCCTTTCTTTTCCCATCAGGAATTGTCCTTTAAGC